AAAGACAATGAACTCTAAAAATTGGCGATACTTCTAAAATTATGAAAACGAAACCCAACAAGGCAATGAACTCTAAAAACTATAAGGCCTAATTTTTTAAAGTTTTAAAGAGGATGAATAGAAGTAGTGGTAAATTGAGTAAGCAAATAAAAAGGTGACAAAGGAGTAAGGGGTAGCGACTGACGTGGCTTTTAAAAACTATAAAATTATTAGAATCACGGGAATGATAATTTCAAATAAAATCATGTGTAAAAAATAGATAATTTTAAATTGATGCTAGCCACGCAATTGTGCGGTCCGCCCAACTAGTTATATAATCACTTCATTACAAGGAGTGAAAAATAATAACCGACATTGGTGTTTGCTTCATGCAACTAACTAAGGGTAAAAACAGAGCGGATTTGGACGGATAGTGGTCATACCATATCCTAAACCATATTTATTAAACGGATTTGGAGCGGGTGTGGATAGTATACGGATGCAGAGATGGAGAGGATTGTTTTGGATGTCGGAAATAGTGTGGAGTCGGTTAGGAAACGGATTAAATTTATCGGATGTTACGAGTGCATGCAATCAATACAACATCGAGTTAGCAATGCAAGGAACAATAATACAACAATCAATAAATGACCCATCGTAATAATTATATGCTTAAGTGCTAAACAACATGAATATATGATGTCCATAATATAAAAATACAGCTACGCAAGTGTAACATGAGACGGTAAAAGCCTCATACTAAGAAATATAGGTTAATTGATGAATTAGGCCAGTGGATGAACCAGCTTATGCTCTATGCAATATATAGAGTGGCTACATGTGTTGATAATTTAGGATTATCCAGAAAACGACCTATCGGATAATCCGCATCCGCCGGATTTTAGAGATACCATATCTGTATCCGCATCCGCATCCGCCAGAGTTCTAAAAGCCCATACCATATTCTCGTTTCAGACGAATATTCGGAACGGATCAGATTGGATATTATCTGATCCGTTTTCACCTCTACAACTAACTAACAACCAACGCTTATATACTCAGCTAATTATAAGGAGTGAAAACAAGATAATTGGTGAAGAAACTAATCATGTACTCTGCCACTAGCTAACAGAATCAAGGTATGGCGAGCGCCATATCTTGCCATACCAGAAGCTCTGCCAATGCTCATTGTCTGCCTCGTTGCTGCGCCCCCTCATCATCCGCTGCCTCATCTCCACGCCGGCTCGTCATTCGCCGCCTCATCCCTACGACCGGCCCCTCGTTGTCCGCCTCGTCCTCACGCTCCTCGTTGCCGGCCACCTCATTGGTCATCTTTGAGCCACCTTGTTGATCGTCTGCCGCGTCGTCGTGCCCCCTACCATCCACCTCATCCTTGCGCCCCTCGTTGCTGAGCCTCCTTGTAGTCCGCCGCCTCGGCGCCGCACCCACGCTGTCCACCTCGTCCCCATGCCCCCCTCAATGTCGGCCTTCTAGGTCAAGTTGTGGGGGGCCGGTCAAGGTATGGGGACTGATTTTGCCCCGTTCATCCCTTTGGGGCCGGGGACGAAGATACCCACAAGAGTTCCAACCCAAACCGCTACGGAAAACAAAAGAAAAGGAAAACAAAAGAAAAGGAAAGGAGGAGGAAGAAGAAAGGAAAATGTGACGACGATGGCACATATCGAATTTTAGAAAATTTTAGTGGCACCCAACCAATATCACAAATAGTAATGGATATCTCCGGTGAAAACGAGCTAAGTATTTTTAAGAAAATTTCAAATAAATAGTAATAAACTTAACTTATTTGGAGTAACAAGAAAAGACAAATTTCGAGTAAAGTAAAAGGAGACTATTCACCTAAAATTTATTATTTTTGTTTCTCTCAAATGATGTTGAGTTTGGACCTAAAATTTGGTGTGAATATATTTCATATCTATACCTATCTCTAATAATTTTTTTTATGAATTTACAAAACTTATATATATGATTTTCATGAGTTTAAACCTTAACCATGATGAAATAAGGTGTGTCCACGTAGAAATCAAACATTAGGACGAGCAACAATGTCCTGCTAATTAGGTTGATTGGTGATGAACCGTATATCTAGGAATGCAAGCGGCGCGGGCAAGTGGGCTTTTTTTATCCCGTTTATCCCACTTTTATTTATTTTTTCTAAATTTTGTACTACCATAAAAAAAATAGACTAGCAAATAGTTTTTATACGGATAGCGGGACTACCCACTTGTCGGCTTGGGGCCCTAAACAGTCGCACGATAGACAGCCCTGCCGTGTGCTCTAGCCCCACCACGAAGACCTCCTTACATGCAGGTCCCTACGGTGGCTGCAGCGTTGGCGGGGACACAGCCCCCACATCTTCCATAGGAGCTGCTGCTCGATCTGTCTCTGCCATGCCTCCAGGTACACCGATATAAATACATAATCTTAGTATTAAACTATGCTAAAATACTATTATGAGACCTTTAGCATCTCTATCTATCAACTATGATAAAAAAATTGAATGGAGACTTAGGGGGTATCTATAGATTTTGTGGGTGTAAGGGGGACTCCCTTGCACGTATGTTGGATCCGCCCCTGGCCCCCTCCAGCCTGTATCTCCCGTTCCTTCGGCGGCCAGCGCGCGACGCAGCGTACGTCGAGTAGAGGGAGCCTGGCGCATGCTAGTGCAGCATCACGGTTTGCTCCTCAGACCTCAGGCCATCCGCATCTCGATCTGCTGCTTTTCTCCTTCCGACTCCCGTGGATGGGAGATGCGTTTCTGTTTTTCTTTTTCCTTCTTGTTAATTGGTTCTAAAGTTTTTTACACACACAAGATTTTGTGCGATTGATATGCATATGATATATAATGCAATACTCCATAATCTTGGTTGTATGTGTTAATATGCCCCGTAAAAAGATATTGATACTTGTATTTTAATGGCAGGAAGATTTTCACTCATTTTTTCTAGACAGACAGATTGAGTAAATATATTAAGAAAATTGATGTCATAAAAATATTGCTATGAATACACGGAGAGAGCGATGTATAAATATACGAGAGTAAAAATATTACTGACTTTTGAACAAGTATTATATATAGAGCTCCTAACTTGTGGGGAGTAAAATTTTAATTTACTTGTGGAAACCTGATGTCACTTTTTTTTACTGATGGTCGAAACCTAATTTTGATCAGAAATACTTTTACTGATGGTCTAACCGCGATTCTGATCATTTTTTTGTACTGATATGATGGTCGTGGGAACCGAGAGACCAAGAAAAAGGGCTTGGGGGAGGCCATGTGGAGACTACCAGTGGTGTGGTGGTAGAGTTATTAGTGCATGAAACCAACTAAAAGGATTAAAATCCTAATGCTCACGAATACTATGCATATGCAGGTGGAATTTTAGTGAGATCAGATATGTATCGCTGGTTTTCGTCTCTTAAAACATATATTAGGGGGCGCATTAGTGAAACGTGAGTGTGATGTTGCGTATGTAGTGATGTGTCTACCGTGTAATGAAAAAGGAACTTTAATAATAATAATAATAATAATAATAATAATAATAATAATAATAATAATAATAATAATAATAATAATAATAATAATAATAATAATAATAATAAATTTTATAAAACCTACCCTATTATGGTTAAAAAAACAGAGGGATTTTGACACATAATATATAACTATAGGTATCATGGTACTAAAATTTTCATAGAACTACACCGTTTACCAATTTTACATACTCATATATCAATTTTTTTTTTAAAAAAATTACTTGCCTACATGTAACATTTATATGATAGATAAAATTCATAAATTTAAAATGTTATTGTAGAAAATGAAAGCGTGAAAGATCAATGTCAACATAATCAATACTGTAGTTTTCTCATAATAGCCATAATACCTAAGGTTAAGTGCTATGTCCTAAAACCCGTGTAATCCTATGTACTTCTATAGTTTATCCCCACTAAGTGTAGTTAATGCTATTTCTCTCTTCTCTCATTAAGCCACCACTACTACAATAACGATTTTTCTGTGCGGTGGAAACTCATTTTCGTGTGCGGCGGTTTCGCCCGTCTGGAACCCAACTTATGCAAAAATCATAATTTTTTCGTACGGGTGAGACACATGTAACCAATGAATATTAAAATGATTTCTCGGGTTCTGATGAAATATTTAATTTACCTCTTGATTTAAGTGTTGGATACATAATGATAACAAATAAGAGCAATTTATGAAAAACTAAAATATAAAATATGTGCAACTCTTGTGGATTGAGGGAGTACTCTTGCTTCTGATTAGCTACTCCCTCCGTCCCATAAAAACCAATGTAGTACTGGATATGACACATCCTAGTACTATGAATCTGAAAATTCAGTACTAGATTCGTTTTTTAGATGGAAGGAGTACCTAGAATTCTTGGCTAGATACCAACAAGCTTGTTGGTGAAGACATCGTCAACGACTACAATTTAAAGGCACATGTTCTCAGGGCTTAGAAATCTTCTCGACGACTCAATTCATTTATTATAATAAATGAATTAACCCACACAGAGCTAACAAAAGCTACAATTTTTATAAAAGCTGTGTACATACCAATTTTTATAATATTATTTTAACTCTACTTTTTAATTTTTATACTAGATAATTTTCTTATTTGTATCCCTAAATAATTATCACAAATCCAACTGTTTAGCAATTTAACACAAAAGAAAAAATGGTCTCGACTATAAAAGTGGACAAGTGTTTCGGCTAGAAAAATATTAGCAATCCCGAAAAATTTGAATCATCAATTGGACAGAATTTATTTTTTTTTCATATGAGAGCATATACAACGGTTTTTATTAGTGGTCTCTCTATATTGCAATACAAGTAAACTTGATGACATGGAAGAAAGAGAAATGAATATGGTTGTTATGCATGACAATGGCTCAGAGTTGAGTCTTAGCATTTATTAAAGCAAATTTTGTTGCATGATGGTGAAAGAAGGGAAAGAAGAGCAAGAAAAAGTATTTAGATACATTAATGATTAGAGATCGTATTGTCTCTAACTGTTGTAGAGTTCTAATCTCTAGATAAAGTAGAGTTTATATCTGAGTGTATCTTCGTACATGCCCTGAGGAGGTGGCGTCAGACTTGCCCGGACTAATAAATAGACGTCGTGCTGCTAGCGTCTGATGAATGAACAGAAACAGACACCACACCGTCTGCAATAACTCGAGACGATGGAGCCCTTCACCAGCGCAGCAGTGGAGCCAGCGCCGCCCACCGCCGACGACCAGCGGGACGCGCCGCGGCCGCACGTCGTGCTGTTGGCGAGCCCCGGCGCCGGCCACCTCATCCCGCTGGCCGAGCTGGCGCGGCGGCTCGCCGACCACCACGGCGTCGCGCCCACGCTCGTCACCTTCGCCGACCTCGACAACCCGGACGCGCGCTCCGCCGTGCTGTCCTCGCTCCCGGCCTCCGTCGCCACCGCCACGCTGCCGGCGGTGCCCCTCGACGACATCCCCGCCGACGCCGGACTGGAGAGGATGCTGTTCGAGGTCGTCCACCGCTCCCTCCCGCACCTCCGCGTGCTGCTCCGGTCCATCGGCTCCACGGCCGCGCTGGTCCCGGACTTCTTCTGCGCCGCTGCGCTGTCCGTCGCCGCCGAGCTCGGAGTCCCGGGCTACATCTTCTTCCCCACTAGCATCACCGCGCTGTATCTCATGCGCCGCACCGTGGAGCTGCACGACTTTGCTGCCGCCGGCGAGTACCACGCCCTCCCGGACCCTCTCGAGCTTCCCGGCGGTGTGTCGCTGCGCACCGCGGAGTTCCCGGAGGCGTTCAGGGACAGCACCGCGCCGGTGTACGGGCAGCTCGTCGAGACAGGCCGGCTGTACCGCGGCGCCGCCGGCTTCCTAGCGAACAGTTTCTACGAGCTGGAGCCGGCCGCCGTGGAGGATTCCAAGAAGGCGGCGGAGAAAGGGACGTTCCCGCCGGCTTACCCGGTGGGCCCGTTCGTCCGGTCGAGCTCCGACGAGGCCGGCGAGTCGGCGTGCTTGGAGTGGCTGGATCTCCAGCCGGCAGGGTCGGTGGTGTTCGTCTCCTTCGGGAGCTTCGGCGTGCTGTCCGTGGAGCAGACGCGCGAGCTCGCCGCCGGGCTGGAGATGAGCGGCCACAGGTTCCTCTGGGTCGTGCGCATGCCAAGCCTCAACGACGCCCACCGGAACGGCGGCCATGACGAAGACCCACTGGCATGGGTGCCCGATGGGTTCTTGGAGAGGACGAGAGGCCGGGGCCTCGCCGTCGCGGCGTGGGCGCCGCAGGTGCGCGTGCTGTCGCACCCGGCGACGGCGGCGTTCGTGTCGCACTGCGGGTGGAACTCGACGCTGGAGAGCGTGGCCACCGGCGTGCCGATGATCGCGTGGCCGCTGCACTCGGAGCAGAGGATGAACGCCGTCGTCCTGGAAGAGTCAGTGGGGATGGCCCTGCGGCCACGCGCGCGGGAGGAGGACGTCGGCGGCACGGTGGTGAGGCGTGGGGAGATCGCCGTCGCGGTGAAGGAGGTGATGGAGGGGGAGAAGGGGCACGGCGTGCGGCGGCGGGCGAGGGAGCTGCAACAGGCGGCCGGTCGGGTGTGGTCGCCGGAAGGGTCGTCGCGGCGGGCTCTGGAGGTGGTTGCCGGCAAGTGGAAGGCGGCGGCGCAGAAGTAAGGATGCATGCAGGTAAACTAGCAAACCCACGGGTTACCCACTATTTGTACCGTAAGTAGTTATGCGGGTCTGTCTGCTTCAATCCTTGAAAGGTTTCAGCGTGTATTTTTTGTGTGGAAACTATTCAAAACTCTCGATGGGATGTCTACTCGTTGTTTACATATCACTTAAATAGTTATTAAAAAAGAAAAATGTATTAATATATCACTCTACAAAATGTATTTAAACTTAAAGAGTAAATTGCATCAATGGTACACGAACTTGTCAGGTGGGTGCAATCTAGTACATAAACTTGTAAAACGCTCGTTTTGATGCATGAACTTGTTTGGTGCGTGTGAACAAGGTCAAAATCACACGGCAAGGTTAATCTTACTAATTTTGTTGTTGATTTAAACTCTATGTAAACATGTGTCTAAGAAAGATAAACATATAATAAGGCGTAATGATCGCATAACAAAAATAATGCAAGTAGTAATGCAAGGATAGACACAAAGGAAGATAAAGTGAAAACTAAGTTTGCAAATATAACTTTTTCTACTATGTGCACGCACGTCATCTATTAATTTATAATTTATAATGTTCAACATAGAAAATTCAGTCTAGTCATGCCATTTTAGCCTTAGCTTGCACGTACCAAATAAGTTCATACACCAAAACAAGCATTTTACAAGTTCATGTATTAGATTGCACCCACCTGACAAGTTCGTGTACCGCTGATGCATTTTACTCAAACTTAAAATTTAACTTTTACATGTTAGTAAAAACAAATTTAATTAAATTTGCTTTTTTAACTTATAGAAGTTGAATTTAAAGTTATATGTTTATGAAGAGATATATCACGTACTAATATTTTCTTAAATTTTCTTAAATTTTATTTTTTTTATAACTATTTGACTAACATGCGAGCACCGAAGAACGTACCATCGAGAGCTCAAAATCCACGCTTATGTTTGCGTCGAGTAAATAAAAGTTGGTATTGATTGGTGACCTATCCTCTGCATCGCACTGAAACCTGGCCCATAGATGATCGTGGTAGGGATCGATTTCCCACGTTATAATTGATCATTTTTCACAGTTTTAATTTAGATATTATACTGTAGTTGAGCATGTGTATTTTTTTCTTACAGTTTTTCTACGTGTCTCTTGTATTAGCACCAGAGGTAATACACAAATAAAAAAGGAAAAAAACAATTTTATCCGAGTATCATCACATTTAGTGTGGCAACACTATAATCCACTGGATTTTTCATAATTTAGTCCTTTTGAAAAACTCATTTCTCAAATAGACCCTAAAAAACTTATCTAAAAAATAGTCATTTTCGGGGTGCCAAAGTCTCTAGTGCCGTCCTCCTGCCACCGTGGCTAGGGGTGAAACGGACGGAAACCATCTTTATCGTTTTCGTTTTCATTTTTTTTCAGAATCGGAATCGGAAACCCGGATACGAAAATGGAATCGAATATTATCGAAACCGGAAACGGAGCGAAAATGAACCGACGCGAATACGGTAACGAAAATTTATCGGAATAAAAAACCCCTCAAACTGATAAATCCAATTGAATAAATTATCTATGTTTAAAAGAGTAATGTTGTTGATAAATCCCAATGTAGGGCAAAAAAACATTCTTATGTAATTTTAGATTTGCATAACAAATATTTTTTAAAAAAATAACAGCCAAACACCATGGTGTTCACTATTTAGTGCTTAAAAGAAGAATTCAGGGTATTTCAGTCACAAAATTTCTGGTAATTTCGAGAAAATTTCCAGAAATTCCGAGAAAATTTCCAGAAAGTTTTCGACTGATTCCGAGTTCCGACGGAAACTTCCCTTACCATTTCTGATTCTGTTTCTGAGAAAATATTTTCGAATTCGTTTCCGTTTCCGAAAAATTCCGACCGACAGATTCCGTTTTCGAAAATAGGTTCGAAATCCGGAAAGTTTCCGTACCGTTTTCACCCCTAACCGTGGTAGGTCGGCGCTGAGGTGGCAGGGGAGCACGCCAATGTGGCGGTCGCCCCACACCCGGGCCATTTTTTCCTCTCCTCTCTAGTGTAGAGGAGAGAGATATGTGCAACTTTTATTATTATTTTTATTTTTTTGATATTGTTTTCAAACTTAGGAGCACACAAGAACCAACTATAGAGAAAATAAACTCAAATGGATGAAATATGTGACTTGTAGAATTTTCGAAAGCTCTACCAAAAAGCTTCTCGCCTCAAAAATACAATCTTGCAAGCAGAATTTGGAGGTTTTAATTTCGACGAACCTGGCGAAGATGGGTAGAATCGGATGTAACTTTCTCTGTAGATGTCCGTGGATATATTATTTGCCTGATTCCGAGTCTGTATGAGAAATTATGCCTGTTTTAAGAAATGACACCTGAATGTAAAAAAAACACAAACCTTTTTTTAATAGGATATAAAAGATGTAAAAAAATAAATGATAAAAGTGTTCGAAATCTAATCTACTTTTCTTGGGACTATAGGAAAAACCAAAACAACGAAGAACAAGGAGAGAGCTGGGGGGCCGCGGGGGGGGGGGGGGGGAGGGTGGGTGGGTGGGGGCAGGAGGACAACACCAGATAGGCGGGATGACGCCGCCAGCGACTCTGGCGCCCCAATAAGGACCATTTTGGGGATAAGTTTTTTTGGGTCTATTTACAAAATAATTTTTTTAAAAGGATCAAATTGTAAAAAATCCAGCTATAATCCACTCAGTACTATAAAATACACCCCTCATAGGTATCGGCTAATATGTGCCGGTTCATTTAAAACCGATCTTGATTTATTTTTTACCTCTGTGCGATGAAAAAATATACCCCTCATAGGTATCGGCTGATATGTGCCATTTCATTTAAAATCAATCTGGATCATTTTTCCACCTCCGTGCGATAAAAAATAAATATAGAACCGGCACCTTTAAGTACTATACGTGTCTGTTCTAAAGAAAAAACTAGTACCAATACTATATGTATTTTTTTTAAATTAACAACACCTATAATATATTATAGGTATCAACTAATTTCAAAACCGACACCGTTAATATAATATAGGTGTCGGCTTTTTGAAAAGCCGATACCAATCTAACCGACCCGAGCAGCCGAGCTAGCGTGGAATGGGAGCGAGATATTTTAGCGTGCCTTATCCTCTTATCCTCTCTCCAGCTCGCACATATCTCTCCCCTTCCTCCTCTCTCTCGCCCACGCTTGCCTCCTCCTCCTTCTCCGTCCGCCGCCCCTCCTCCTCCTCCTCCTCTCCTCGGCGATGCCCTCTCCTCCTCGCCGCCTCCGAGCTCTCTCCCTAGCCACGCCAGATTCATCCGCCTGGAGGTCTGGGGCTGCCAGATCCGGGCTCCTTGAGGTTGGGGCTTGCCAGATCCGGCCAGCTCTGACAGCACATGCTCTTGGGCTAGAAGAAGATGATGATGGTGGCAGTGGTGGCTCGAAGGAGATAGCGGTGGCAGCTCAGGGAATCTATAACGGCAACTGGTCTGATAACAGTGAATTGTTTGTGATGTACTTGTTCTTATGTCTTTGTAGATTTGTAATGTGGATGGGGAAATTGCAGATGGGGCTGAGAATTAGATCCAGCCTACAATATTATGTTTTTTTTCCGAAGATTACAACTGACACCTATAATCTCTATTTTTATGTAGTTGGATAAAAATACCGGCTAGGAAACCGACACCTATAATAATTTTTCAACCGGTACCAATAATGAGTCCTGTACTAGTAGCTGCATCGGCTCACCATAGCATACGATCGGCTGGTTAAAGCCACTTGCAGGGTCATGCACTCAGGCCCTCTCCCTGATAAGAACATAATCTAACTTAGATGTTTCATATACCTACTTGATCAGTGAACCTATTTCTGTATTTTTTTTTCTTGAAGAAACTTGAATCCGACAGAGGAAGGCCATTATTCATGGTCTTCCGATAGAATGGAGACTTGCCTAGCTCGAAGAATTCAGTCCATGCTTCCAGTCAAAAAAAAAAAGAGTTCAGTTCATGCTGGAAGCTAGTAGCTCAACACAATTTCTTGGTGAAAAATTATACACATTGAGCGATCTGAGAACATCATTTGAGAAATTTGGAGTTTTTTTAAAATCTTCAGAGAAAAAGTAGAACAAAAGGGTAAGTGAATGGTGCTATATGAAAGACAAGGAGAAGCCAAAAGTCCCATAAAAAGTAACATAGGAAAGGTAAAAGTATTATTGCCGACTTATTCAATTCTAGATAGAAAGATATGTTGTACGCATGATACTCATGTGAAATAAAACATAATAGCAACTCCTGATTGACCGAACCTAGACTTTATCTTTACTCGGGACGAGCAAATGTTTAGCTTGGGGGAGTTTGTTGATGGCCATTAAGTACCAATTTCGACCTTCAATTACCTCGAAAATAAAAGAGAACTAACATTTCTTATCCGCATATTAGTTTCAAATAATGTAGTTCCACTAGTCGTTGGAGAATAGTCTGGATGCAGGGACTATACACTAAAGTGAAGGAGAAAATATGCCGGGATGCAAAGAAACATACCTCCGGGAAATCAGGAAAGAACACAAGGATTTGAGGACCCAGATCTCATCTCAAACCAACATAATTTTAGCTATTCCACACTGAACCGACCTTAGGGGCCACCAGTCAGCCTCTCAGTCCGAGTACTAACTAAGAGGTGGGGCTCAGGGGTTAGCCGACCTAAGGGCTCAGCCGAAACGCCTTTGCCTCCTCTCATCCTGGCTTTCCAGCTCCCATTTATGGTTATACGTGGATCCCACCTCAACTGACCTCCAAACCGTCATTATAGGGTTATAAATAGGAGTCACTTCTGCCCATCACAACACACACGCAAGAAGCAAAATCTATATTCCTTGTTTGTATTACTCATTAGATTAGTGGAGTTCGGGTTTAGAATAGTTTTTTGGTTTTCTAGTCTTATCGGAGATTCAGGCATGTCTTTAGTACTCTACTATCTTTGTAAATTGTAAGACTATGAGTTTAATAATAGAACTTTCTTCTTTACTTACTTGTATTCATAGTTCATATATTGTTTTGCTAATTATATGGCTTATGAGTTGTTTGTACCTTTTTCATATACTCTATATGTTTACGCTATGTTTAGGCTACTCGATCTATACCACGACATTGATCCAATGATCT